GGGCTAATCCTCAAAACATCAGCTTTAGAACCTGTTATGGTGGCTAATTTACACCATCAAGTCAATTTATAAAACCAAATTATCTTCAGACAGAGACAGAGAGATAAACAGACATTCAAAGACACAAGCAGTTCGGCAAATTGGCAGTGAGACACTCTGAAAAAGGAATACAAACTGACCAAAGTAGACACATGTTAGGCTGAAAAGGGTTAAAGCGATCAAGCAAAGAACGTCAGTATCTAGGAGACTCCCAATATTTCAGTTCACTCGTCTTAGAATGTTGAAATAACAAAGAGCAACTTTTGTTGATTTTTCCAGACTATGACAGGATCCATTTTTGTCCAAAAGAAGTTCAGTTAAAGTAAGGAAGTAATGATCTAAAATTTGGTGTGGATATTAGATACGAAGGAGTCTGTAATATGTCATTGCATTTAAATGCGCTCTTTGGTTGGTTTAGAACACTTACACTATCTGCCCAACTGATCAATTAGATTAAAGCTTAAGTCAACTACGACTTGTTCACGCGCCATTTCCCGCCCCTATGCGGTTTGCTTAATTTTACCTTGAGTTCTCATCGAATCCTTGTAATATTTTCCTATGTTCTGATTGGCCATTCGGATCTGTGCAGTTTTCAATTGAGTGTCAAAAGTGTCAAATCAGTTCTGTGATTGGTCCAGAAAACTCGAGCAAGTCTCTAAGCCAATCAGGTGCATAACAAACAGCAATGACGACTTGGTTGGCGCGTTTTCCCGCGCTTTAGGTGGTTCGCTTGTTTTTACTTTACGTTTTCATTGGATATTCGATATATTTTCTTTTCTCCTACTTTAGTTTTGGTTTTGCGGCACAAAATCAAAAAAAAACTTTATTATGCTGCTGGTCATGATACGCTCATGTTTTGCGGACTGTTTGAAAGCCAGGAAAGGTTCCGTCCGCCTAATGATGTATTGTAACTTCACCAAGAAACAACGCTTTAATGTATGAAAACACCGCTCATGTTAGATTTTGGTTATTCTTTACAGATATTTTGAGAAACAGTTTCACTTAGCGGAAGAAACCAAACTACCTATGTTTCTACATTCAAGAAGTGCACATCAAGATTTCATTGGTAGGCAGATCAGTTTTTGTCTTGTGCGTGTGGAAAGGTCACTTTCTCACAAACAGGGTAATTTAGTATTTTTTAACAGAGTTGATAACGTAAATTGGCCACCGTAAAGAGTTTAAAAGCTGACGTTTCGAGCAATTGAGAAGGGCTAACGCCGGAAACGTCAGCTTTGAAACTCTTTACGGTGGCCAATTCACATTATCAACTCAGTTGATAGTACTTTATTACCTTGTTATACTCTCCCACCGACGCAGCACCACAGTTTCTTTAGAAACCTAACCCCTTTATTCTCTACAAACACTTTGAGCATGTCGATAAATTTCTTTGAGACTCGAAGCTGTAGCCTTCGACCTGTCAGTCTATAATGAAGTATCTCTTTAACTGCCATCTTGCTTCTTCCGAGTCAACTACATTGAAATGTTGGGATCAATGTCCATCATTAAATTTTAAATTTTAAACCAGGAAAATATTAACATAGAACGTATTAGAATCTTTTTGACGTAGAAACAATGAAACGCAATTTTTATGTTTTTTTTTCTTTGCAAGATTTTTCCAATCTTTTCTGGTCTAAAATACCTCGAAGATTTTTGTTTTCCTTCGCCTTTTCCATTGGCTGGGACAGAACGTCTTTCCCAGATAACGTGCTGGAAGAGTACAATAATATACAGTGGAGTTTTGTCGCTTACAAAATCAGCACGCGTCAACGAAACCACCGGTAAAACTTTTGATAATCATTTGTTTAACGGTGTTCTACAACATTTCTTGCAGAAATCATCAGACGAAATAGAGATAGATTTGTTGGTGGTGTGGTGAGTCCCAGTCATCAGATTCTTGAATCAATTCTATCTTTAAAGTACGAGTTGATTTTGCCAGAAAAACGGGCGTGGGGTCATTTAGTTTTCTGGGAATTTCAATTTATATCTCCAAAATCTCCGTTAATTCGTTCTTTATTGGAAGGCGTAGCCGTGTGGTTATGTTAATGATGATTGCGCTTACATCACAAATTCACTGTTTCTGTTTATTGACTGACATTTTTTCTATTTTTGGAATCCACTTCTAAACTTGTGGACCATAGCTGTACGTACGAACGAGGTGACCTGGGGTCTAGATCGAAAGGTCTGGGTCAAGACGGTATTGGTTCTTGGTCTGGTAGCTTTACTCTTAGGGATCGGTTATTAAGTTGATTTTCTATAGACCCCCTTTTATCCTCTAGCGACAACTGATCCTAC